GCTAATGTTTGCCAAGTGACACAGTCCAGCAAACACTAAGGACAGAGGAGGGGGTATTTGCTGTCAAAGTCGAGGGGGCGCCAGGCCTCTGCGGGTGAGGATCCCATGGGAGTGGCTCTGAACCCCACACTCAGCTCCACACACCCCGTGCCTGGTGGGGTCTGGGTGCAGGCCAGGCCCCCTGGGAGCAAAGCACCACAGGCCCCACTGGGCCTGGGAAAGGCCGCATTGGCTCAGACCCGCTACCCTAGGCACACCCACATGCCACTGTCCCTGCGCCTGCTTCCTGCCTGCCCATCTGGGCCCGTCACGCAGGACCCCCTGAGCTCAGAGGACCAGACAAGGGGGGGTCTTGCTGTTTGGGGACCAGAGGGAGGCCAGGCCCAGGGAGTGGGTGGGAAGTGGGGTATAGCAGGATGGTCAGGAAGGGTTGGAGTTGCCTCATTTGTTTCAAGGACAGACATGACCTCCTCCTTATGCCCCTGTCGGGGGGTCAAGACCACAGCCCACTGTGGGGGTTCACCCAGGAACCAAGAGGTCACTGGTTCGATTCTTGGTCAGTTGCTGGCTCAATCCTCAGTAGGGGGCATGCAGGAGGCAGCTGATCAATGATGTTTCTCTTTCATTGATGTTTCTTTCTTTCTATCCCTCTCCCTTCCTCTTTCTCTAAAAATCAATAAAAACATTTTTTAAAAGAATCAACCAGCCATAACTGGTTTGGCTCAGTGGATAGAGCATTGGCCTGCGGACTGAAAGGTCCCAGGTTCGTTTCCAGTCAAGGGCATGTACCTTTTTTGCAGGCACATCCCCAGTGGGGGGGGTGCAGGAGGCAGCTGATCAATGATGTTTCTCTTTCACTGATGTTTCTTTCTCTCTATCCCTCTCCCTTCCTCTCTGTAAAAAAATCAATAAAATATATTTTTTAAAAAGAATCAACCAATGAATCCTGTATAATAAAAGCCTAATATGCAAATCAACTGAACAGAAAGACAGGGTGCTATGACGTGCACTGACCACCAGAGGGTAGATGCTCAACACAGGAGCTGCCCACAGCCCACAGCCCCAGGCTAGCCAAGGCGGGTGACAGCAGGGAACCCCTCGATCACCCCGCCAGTCACCCCACAGGTCAGCCCTGATCGCTGGCCAGGCCCAGGGACCCTACCTGTGCACAAATTTTGTGCACTGGGCCTCTAGTGTATAAATAAGTAGAACAACAAATTGCTGCTTCTCTCCCTTCCTCTTGCTCTCAAACCAAGAAATTTAAAAAATGCATTTATGCATCAAATAAAATAACTTCCAAATAGATTATTGAATATTGCTAGAATTACAAGGAGAAATGTTATTTCTTTTTGTTAATCCTCACCCAAGGACATTTTTTCCATTGATTTTTAGAGAGAATGGGAGGGAGGGAGGAAAAAACATCAATTTGAGAAACATCAATGGTTGCCTCCTGCACTCACCCCAACCGGGGCCAGGAATCGAACTCTCGACCCTTTGGAGCACCGGCCAACGCTCTAACCACTGACCAACACAGGCCAGGGCTACAAGGAGAAATTGCTAATCCCCTGTCCTGGTGAGATTCCAACCCAGCCTCAGTGACGGATACTGAAGCTGATAGAAGCCACGAGTGTGTGCGAGATCTGCACCCCTCACTGACCCTGACGGGACCCCAGAGCTCGCTTCAGCCATCCGAGGACAGGAGGGGGTGCAACAATTGATGGGGTGCAGGACTGTCGAGGCACAGAGCTGCAGCCAGTGAGGGGGGATGCGGAGGGGAAGCCGGGAGCTTAGGTAGCCATCGCCGCCCTCCTGCAACGTTAGGAACAAGCTGCTGATGGTGCGTTTCGTTAACAGGAAATCCTGACGGAAATCTGAAAAATCCCAGCGCCTCAGGAAAGTGAAACTGCCCACGTCGCGTGACACGGCCGTGGCTCCGGACAAACAGGGAGACGCCCGAGAGGCAGGTGCAGGACAGAGGAGCCTCGCCCGCCAGGATGAGCGCCCGGCGCCCATAGCCCAGGAAAGGCACCCGCGATGGGTGCGTGTGCGTGTGCGTGTGCGTGTCTGCACAGGACATTCCTGCTAAGTGACACGTGCACGAGGGAGCGACACAGGAGCCCAGGGAGGCACCAGCTGGTTCACGCCCTTCCAGGACCAGGGGTTTGTGCGGCTGCAGAAGGAGCCGGTTCCTTTTCGGATTAACTGCTTTACCGGGGCCTCGAACCCGGCACCTGGTTGTGAGGGACAGACTGCCCTCCTGCCTGAACAGCCCCAGGGACTTGCCCCAGCCGAGCGCTGGCGGAGGGGCCTCTGCTGGAGGGAAGGGCGGGCTGACTCGGGAGCTGGCCTCAGGGACAAGCCCCCCAACCGCCCCCGGGGCCTGAGAGAAGACCTGGGCGGCATTCTGGTCCCGGGGCCCCTCTCTAGGGCCTCTGTGCCCTGGGGGGGCGGCACGTCACCCTGCACAGGTGCTGGGGGTGGTCCTGTGAGGACCCCGCCTCGTCCCATCTCCCAAGGCTAATCCTTCGGGACACCTCGGGGGACTTTGTCCTTTCCATCCAACTGCCACCCTCCACTCTCTCGCTCACCCTCTCCTCCTCCTCCGGGCTCTCGGAGAAGCAACTGGGAAAGTACCTCCAGGAGGATTAACAAAACGACACCCACCTGGACGCCCCTCACCCCCCACCCCAAGGGACCTGCACGGGGGCCTCCAGGGCCTGAGCGCACAGCCTCCCCGGCGCCCGAGGCGGGTGGGGTCGGGGTGCCCCCTGTTCAGGGAGCACCTGACTCCCTCCCGAACGCCCCGGGCACCCCCAGGGGAACCCAACCGCATTTCCCACAATCCTCAGCCTGCACGGTTGGGAGGGGGGCGTTTCCCGGCGCCCCCTCCAACGCGCGGGAGATGAGACCTAATGCGGGACTCGGTGCCAAGAATAACGCTTTCCTTCCCAGTGGCCTCGGCAGTTCCCGCAACTCCCGTGACTTCCCATAACCGGGGCCTCCTCGCATCTGCGACTTGGGGCAGCGCCTCCCGG